TTTTTTTTTCTTCTGTGCTGTTCTTTTCAACTTTCTATTCATCAAAGAATTCTTTCAGAATCAGCTAAACTGGTTTCAACACTGATAATAATCAGAAATGTTGGTTGCATCACAGGAATAAATAATATTTTAAAAACAGCTCTTTTAAATTATTTTAACATAGAAAACAGTTATTTTAAATTAATAATATTTCACAATAGTACTGTTTTAACTGTAATATTGATCAAATAAAAAAATAAATCTTCCTGACCTCAAACTTTTGAGCGGTATTGCATATTTGAATTCTATAAATTACTTTATTTTTATTATTATAATTATTTTTTTATGTTATTAGTATTATTTTAGTTTAATAATATGGATGTGAAAAATATTGAGGGTGTACGTGTGTAGTGTTGTACATGTGTAACTGTGTCTCTGTGTTTCTCTGTAGTTCTTCATGCCATGCGTGAGGACAGTGACACAGTTCCTGCTCTTCTCACCGACTACATCCTCAAAGGTATCAGACATCTGAATCACTCATCAGTCTCATCACTGTCAGTCTGAGCCTCACTGATCTTCTCTGTGTTTTATGTTTTATTTTTGCTCCCGCTGCATTTGACCTCTAGCACTGGTGTGAGAGAACAGGTGTGTTGCTTTTATATATCGCTAATTATAATGACTACAGTCTAAAATGACAAAAAAATTATTTATATGTCCCCAAAGGGATATTTTTTCCTTCGCTTCAGGAGATTTGTATCTGCCGTAGATAGGTAATCCCACCTAGACACACAAGAGTGTAAAATAGATTTTTGTCATCTGTGTGTGTGTGTGTGTGTGTGTAGTATTTGTTGTCTTCTCTGTGATGTGTGTTAGTGAACATGTCACGGACACTACGTCCATGTTTTTATACAGTCTATGAGTTGGACGTGCACTGTGGGCAGACCCGACTAATCGATAATAAGAATCGTTGTCGATTGTTTTTGTTATCGATAATAATCGATTTTATCGATTAGTTGTTGCAGCCCTAAAAAACAATACCGTTCAAAAGTTGGTTGAGTAGGTTTTTTTGTTTTTGGAAAGAAAGAAAATAATACTTTTAGCAGTATCTTTTCAGCAAAGATGCATTAAATTTATCAAAAGTGACAGTAAAGACGTCACTTTTTGTTTTATTTTTATTTATTTTTTTTAAATAAAATTTTTTTTTCTTCTGTGCTGTTCTTTTCAACTTTCTATTCATCAAAGAATTCTTTCAGAATCAGCTAAACTGGTTTCAACACTGATAATAATCAGAAATGTTGGTTGCATCACAGGAATAAATAATATTTTAAAAACAGCTCTTTTAAATTATTTTAACATAGAAAACAGTTATTTTAAATTAATAATATTTCACAATAGTACTGTTTTAACTGTAATATTGATCAAATAAAAAAATAAATCTTCCTGACCTCAAACTTTTGAGCGGTATTGCATATTTGAATTCTATAAATTACTTTATTTTTATTATTATAATTATTTTTTTATGTTATTAGTATTATTTTAGTTTAATAATATGGATGTGAAAAATATTGAGGGTGTACGTGTGTAGTGTTGTACATGTGTAACTGTGTCTCTGTGTTTCTCTGTAGTTCTTCATGCCATGCGTGAGGACAGTGACACAGTTCCTGCTCTTCTCACCGACTACATCCTCAAAGGTATCAGACATCTGAATCACTCATCAGTCTCATCACTGTCAGTCTGAGCCTCACTGATCTTCTCTGTGTTTTATGTTTTATTTTTGCTCCCGCTGCATTTGACCTCTAGCACTGGTGTGAGAGAACAGGTGTGTTGCTTTTATATATCGCTAATTATAATGACTACAGTCTAAAATGACAAAAAAATTATTTATATGTCCCCAAAGGGATATTTTTTCCTTCGCTTCAGGAGATTTGTATCTGCCGTAGATAGGTAATCCCACCTAGACACACAAGAGTGTAAAATAGATTTTTGTCATCTGTGTGTGTGTGTGTGTGTGTGTAGTATTTGTTGTCTTCTCTGTGATGTGTGTTAGTGAACATTATTTGTCTCATAAGGAATAAATTGAAGTGGTAATAATATGCAACATACAGCAAAACACAACAATATAAACTACTGCTCAACAAGGCTGCATTAATTTGATAAAAAATACAGTAAAATCAGTAATATTATGAAATATTATTACAATTTAAAACTATTGTAGAATATTGTAAAATGTAATTTATTCCTGTGATGCAAAGCTGAATTTTCAGCATCATTACTCCAGTCTTCAGTGTCACATGATCCTTCAGAAATCATTCTAATATGCTGATTTGCTGCTCACTATTAAAGGGGTCATATGATGCTTTTTTAAAGATCATTATTTGGTGTAACAGAATATGTTGACATGCTTTAATGTTCAAAAAACACATTATTTTTCAAATACTGTACATTATTGTAGGTCCTCTATGCCCCGCCTCTCTCAAACGTTTCGTTTTCTACAAAGCCCCCTCCTTTGACAAGCGCAGTCTGCTCTGATTGGCCAGCTGACCCAGTGCATTGTGATTGGCCGAACACTGCAAGCACTCGTCAGAAATGTAACGCCCCTTACCATAATCGCAAGCTTCATCTTTCATAATAAATGCAAAGACAGAGCCCGAAAGGGAACAGAGTCGCGTGACAGACACAGTGATGAAGCTGGTATGTGTTTGCAGTACACAAGCCACGGTTAAGACAGCTGACTCCACTGTGATGTGATCTCTCTCCCACACGCGCGCGCACACACACACACACACACACACATGATGCGCAAAACTCTGCATTTGAACAGTCAATAGCAAATACTTAAACTAATAACAAAACAGTAGCTGATTCAGAAGCGCCAGATTGTCATAGCAAAGTCAGAATGACCTCCTCTCCTAGGTTCACGAAACGGTCGTCCATAAAATGCATTGCTGTTCTGTTGTAAGTGATCTTAAAGATTCCTAAATGCATCTACTTTCGGAAGGCCAAATAAAGTGCTTTTGCTTTCGCCTAGAAACACACAGCGTCTCCCTGACATGCTGCTTCAACACTAACCACGCCTTCTTTCTTTGCGTGAACATTTGGGTACATTATGCTAATATTTCCACATAGTGAGGTAGGTATGTGGGGGCGTGATAGAATGAGCCGTTTTAGGGGGGCGTGGCAGAGTCTTAACTTTGATAAAGAATATCTCTTTGGTTTTGAGACTTTAGTCTTTGCAACTTCAGGGATCTTATCTATGCACAATCAGCTTGTAACACTCCAAAGAGAAAGGAAAACTTGAAATCGCATCATATGACCCCTTTAAACAATTAAATGCATCCTTGCTGAATAAAAGTATGAATTTCTTTAAACAACACACTTGCTGACCCCAAACGTTTGACCATCAGTGTAATATATTTCAGGCTTTTACTGATCTATCCTTTCATGTCTGTTGTTTCAGTGTTGTGTCCCACGTAGAGTTTCTGGAGCAGAAAAGCAGCTAATATCATCGGCACGTCAAACATCTGATCCTCTGCATCTCTCCAGATAATCATGCACAGAATTGACCCACCAGTGGCATTTATTTCTCAGTCTGAATGTGTGTTTTGTTTTGTGTAGATGTTATTTTGTGTGGGAGCTTGAGTGCAGTATTCAGTTTATGTCCGAATGCAGTTCACATTTCACTCACTGACAGATTCCACTAGTTATCGCAGAGCAGCTGTCAAAAATCATGCACGTTTGCATCATATTCAGTTTGTTTTAGCACAGATCTAGATGCAAGATTTCCCTTATTTGATCTTTTCATCAGATGAAATGCGATTTCAGGAAGTTTTAAGCTGCTGATGGCTGAAAATCATAGAATGATTTCAAAGCAATCTCTTCAGCAAAGGCAGGTACATATATCTGTGTAGGAAAAGTTTATGTGGCTGCAAAATCTAAACGTTTATCATATCGGAATGAAATAGTTCAGTCATGCTGAACAGATTTAGTGGTACTTTTTAAAACACAACATTTATTTCATTGCCAGTTACTAGATGATCAAACTCTGTTTTTGTTCTGTTCGACCAGCTTTCTAACATTTCTCTATAACAGTATTAATATTGAGTTGATAAGGAGTGAACGGCACAAGTATTTGCTGCCAGTTTAAGTGAAATCTGTGAGATCTCAGCAGTGGAGGAAGGACATGTTTGACTTTTATCAGATCTCTGGGCTGGATTTCTGTTTTAAACTATGAAGAGCTGAAACACTTATAATTGAGAAACACCTCTGTCTGTCCTCACTAAGGTCCTGTAAGAAGATTAAATGATTGTCTCTGGTTTATTAGTTTTTGTTGAAACAGATTGGAAGTGATCTTTTTGTATGTGTGGCTATAAAAACTGAATGTCGCTTTTTGATGGAGAGGTTGAGATTTTGTTGAGTCTTGTAGATGCACGACCTTAAAGCAATAGTTCACCGAAGAAAATGAAAATTTGCTGAAAATCTCCTCACCCTCAGGCCATCTAAGATGTAGATGAGTTTTTCTTCTTCAGAACAGATTTGGAGAATGTTGCATTTCATCAGTTGCTCAGCAATGGATCCTCTGCAGTGAATGGGTGCCGTCAGAATGAGAGTCCAAACAGCTGATTAAAAACATCACAATAATCCACACCACTCCAGTTCCTCAGTTAATGTCTTAAGTGATAATAATTGATTTGTTTCCTACAAAGATGCAGCTTTTCACTTCACAAAATGTGTGGATTATTGTGATGTTTTTATCAGCTGTTTAGACTCTCATTCTGATGGCACCCATTCACATTTTCAGCAAATTTTCATTTTTGGATGAACTTCCTTTAAAGGATTATTTCACTGTAAAAACCTGTATGATTTTATTTCTTCTGTGCATAAAAGAGGTCCATAAGAATCATGTGCCATATTTCAAATCTTCCGCAGCCGCTCAGTCGTTTTTTATCGTAAATTTTTATTCCACGAAAGAAAGTCATACAGGAACATGATTGAAAATTCTGAGTGAATTATTCCTTTAGATGAAGCATCTCACATGCTTCTAAATCAGTCTGTTCTGTGGGCTGAAACTTATCAAGAGGTTCGATTAAAGGGTAGAAATAGTTTTCATGTTTGTAAAAATAATGAAATATTGTAATAATAAAAATAATATAAATATTGTAATAATTACTAAGTTTACGTCTATGGCGATTCACGCAGATAAGCGGCGATGACCCAACCAGGCTACAATAGTCCAAATATAAGTACTTATTATAAGTGTACCGTAGTGAATCGGAATAAGACAAAAACGCGGTTTGGAAGATTAATTCATGATGTACTCGCTCATTACATACACGTTGAACACAGAAAAAGTTACATAGTGCTGCTTTAACAAATAATTGTTCAAAATACTTCAAATTGACATCAAAAAACAGTTCAAATATGTAAATCAAGCTGATGTCAAAAACTTGACACAATGTTGATTTGATGTAAACTGAACGTCAAACATATTGACCTATAGCTATATTATATTATAGCTGTATTTATATATTATATTATAAATACTTAAACTAATAACAAAACAGTAGCTGATTCAGAAGTGTCAGATTGTCATAGCAAAGTCAGAATTACTTCCTCTCCTAGGTTCACGAAACGGTCGTCCATAAAATGCATTGCTGTTCTGTTGTAAGTGATCTTAAAGATTCCTAAATGCATCTACTTCTGGAAGGCCAAATAAAGTGCTTTTGCTTTCGCCTAGAAACACACAGCGTCTCCCTGACATGGCTGCTTCAACACTAACTGCGGTTACTGAAACCACGCCTTCTTTCTTTGCGTGCACATTTGGGTGCATTATGCAAATATTTCCACATAGTGAGGTAGATATGTGGGGGCGTGTTAGAACGAGCCGTTTTAGGGGGGCGTGGCAGAGTCTTAACTTTGATAAAGAATATCTCTTTGGTTTTGAGGCTTTAGTCTTTGCAACTTCAGGGATCTTATCTATGCACAATCAGCTTGTAACACTCCAAAGAGAAAGGAAAACTTGAAATCGCATCATATGACCCCTTTAAACAATTAAATGCATCCTTGCTGAATAAAAGTATGAATTTCTTTAAACAACACACTTGCTGACCCCAAACGTTTGACCATCAGTGTAATATATTTCAGGCTTTTACTGATCTATCCTTTCATGTCTGTTGTTTCAGTGTTGTGTCCCACGTAGAGTTTCTGGAGCAGAAAAGCAGCTAATATCATCGGCACGTCAAACATCTGATCCTCTGCATCTCTCCAGATAATCATGCACAGAATTGACCCACCAGTGGCATTTATTTCTCAGTCTGAATGTGTGTTTTGTTTTGTGTAGATGTTATTTTGTGTGGGAGCTTGAGTGCAGTATTCAGTTTATGTCCGAATGCAGTTCACATTTCACTCACTGACAGATTCCACTAGTTATCGCAGAGCAGCTGTCAAAAATCATGCACGTTTGCATCATATTCAGTTTGTTTTAGCACAGATCTAGATGCAAGATTTCCCTTATTTGATCTTTTCATCAGATGAAATGCGATTTCAGGAAGTTTTAAGCTGCTGATGGCTGAAAATCATAGAATGATTTCAAAGCAATCTCTTCAGCAAAGGCAGGTACATATATCTGTGTAGGAAAAGTTTATGTGGCTGCAAAATCTAAACGTTTATCATATCGGAATGAAATAGTTCAGTCATGCTGAACAGATTTAGTGGTACTTTTTAAAACACAACATTTATTTCATTGCCAGTTACTAGATGATCAAACTCTGTTTTTGTTCTGTTCGACCAGCTTTCTAACATTTCTCTATAACAGTATTAATATTGAGTTGATAAGGAGTGAACGGCACAAGTATTTGCTGCCAGTTTAAGTGAAATCTGTGAGATCTCAGCAGTGGAGGAAGGACATGTTTGACTTTTATCAGATCTCTGGGCTGGATTTCTGTTTTAAACTATGAAGAGCTGAAACACTTATAATTGAGAAACACCTCTGTCTGTCCTCACTAAGGTCCTGTAAGAAGATTAAATGATTGTCTCTGGTTTATTAGTTTTTGTTGAAACAGATTGGAAGTGATCTTTTTGTATGTGTGGCTATAAAAACTGAATGTCGCTTTTTGATGGAGAGGTTGAGATTTTGTTGAGTCTTGTAGATGCACGACCTTAAAGCAATAGTTCACCGAAGAAAATGAAAATTTGCTGAAAATCTCCTCACCCTCAGGCCATCTAAGATGTAGATGAGTTTTTCTTCTTCAGAACAGATTTGGAGAATGTTGCATTTCATCAGTTGCTCAGCAATGGATCCTCTGCAGTGAATGGGTGCCGTCAGAATGAGAGTCCAAACAGCTGATTAAAAACATCACAATAATCCACACCACTCCAGTTCCTCAGTTAATGTCTTAAGTGATAATAATTGATTTGTTTCCTACAAAGATGCAGCTTTTCACTTCACAAAATGTGTGGATTATTGTGATGTTTTTATCAGCTGTTTAGACTCTCATTCTGATGGCACCCATTCACATTTTCAGCAAATTTTCATTTTTGGATGAACTTCCTTTAAAGGATTATTTCACTGTAAAAACCTGTATGATTTTATTTCTTCTGTGCATAAAAGAGGTCCATAAGAATCATGTGCCATATTTCAAATCTTCCGCAGCCGCTCAGTCGTTTTTTATCGTAAATTTTTATTCCACGAAAGAAAGTCATACAGGAACATGATTTAAAATTCTGAGTGAATTATTCCTTTAGATGAAGCATCTCACATGCTTCTAAATCAGTCTGTTCTGTGGGCTGAAACTTATCAAGAGGTTCGATTAAAGGGTAGAAATAGTTTTCATGTTTGTAAAGCGTTCAGAAAGTAAAAGTGGCTGCATGCACTTTCAGTTGGTCTCAAAGGGAACGGTTTTGTAGAGCACGACGTAAGCGTGAAGCGATGAACTACAGCTCTTGTTGGTGTCTTCAGGCGGTCGTGGCCTGATTCTGAGAAACATTAGCAGTGCACAGTAAATCAGGGTATAATAACTAAAGATTATATATTTATACAAGCAATAATGAACGTTGCCTTTTTGAATGCATGAAATTTTGTACATTGAAACTGACCTTATTTTTAATGCAGCATTAATGGTCCTTTTGAATTAGTATTTTATAAGCAGTGCATTGTATGTAGCAGGGCAGTTTTCCAATAAAAGCATCCTGTTCATCAAGCCTGCTGTGCATTTGTGTCTTTCTGTAAATTTTTTTTTACTATTGTCTTTAAGTGCCAGTCATGAGCTGGATTTCTGACAATCTAAAAAATACAATACTTTAAGTTAAAAGTTTCAATTCTTAAAAAAAATCTTAAGTTCTGAGAGATTTTATAATATTTATGTCTATGTATAAAATACTTGTCATGGGGTTGCTTTACACTGATAAATAATACATTTCATTAATTTTGTCTAAAGAATTGTATTTTTTTCTTAAGGCAAGACACTATTTTAAAAAATGTAACTAATGGAAATCATATTTCCCCAGTTTATTCAAAATACATTAACTTTTTTTTACAATCGTTTTAAATATGCAAAATGTAATAAATGATAACTTTTGTTTTTATTAAACTTCTGTTTAAATGTTATGGATTGTGACTTTTAACAATGTCTTTAATATCTCTAGGGTCTTGTGCTTAATGCTTAAACATTACATGCATCATAAAATAAAAAATCTAAAGCAATGTTTCAGCAAAGAATTTGCAGTTTTTTCTTTCTTTTTTTTGTCTGCTGTATAATCCGGTTTCCTCCTGCCAGTATCACAGGTACGAGTCCCAGAGCAGTTCTGAATTCACCAAAACCGCTCAGTTCTGAGATGATGTTTGGAGAAAGTGCTGATGATGTGAGATGAGGGTCAAAGGTTGGTGTCGGTGAACATGGTGTGTTCCTTCCTGGCTGTGCTGAAGCCTTTGATGGTGTCCACAAACTCCTCACCTTCAAACTGACAAACATATGACAGGTTATCAAAATCAGATTTCAGAAATAAAAGCATTTGTCCAGCAGAAGTAAGTTTTGTTCTCACCAGGCCGCTGTCGAGGCGTCTGAAGTGCGGCTCCCATGATTCCTCGTCTTTCTTGTCGATGAGCTGGCTGACGCTGCGCTGTAAAAGGTTTTGTGTGTACAGACCTGAGACTGTCACCAAACCATCCTCATCTTCAGCAGAACGATCCTCCTCCACTTTACTCTCAATCACCTCCTGAACAGCACAAGAACACGAGAAGAGGCTTCAGCTTTTAGAGCAATATCTTCCGACAGACCTCGTAAAATAAAGCTTTGCATTTACAACTATATTAATATTTCAAAATGGAAATAAATTTCAAGATGAAATTAGCTTAAGTTTTAGATTTCTGTTCATTTAGCATTTATTTTATAAATATGCTTAAAGCATGCACTCTAAAAAATGCTGGGTTAAATATAACCCAGCGCTGGGTTAAAAGGGGGTCAGAACAACCCAACCGCTGGGTCAAAACAACCCAACCGC